CAAAAATTCTCCTTTATGAGATAGTTCCTGAACATAGTAAATATTCTATAAATTATTTACATTTGTAATTTCATTTTACTTGAGTATTACGAAGATCTAGAAACTTTTCTTCTGAGATATTGGTGAAGTAGTATACCAAACTTCCTCGAAGATAAAATTAGCACTTACAGTTTCATGTAACTGAGAACTATCTGGCATACAATAAGTACTAATTTCTCTTCCCCGACTCATTTACTTGCAGATCATGAAAAGTCTGAATCCAGGCATCACATTAAAAGCCCTCTAAAATTAGCATAATCACACTTTTCAAAAGAGTTAAATTTCTTCTAATCAAGGTTATCTTCACCCTTCAGGTAATTTTCACCCTTCTAATTTTCTAGGTGGATTCAATAAATGTTTATAGATTAAATAGTTTTTAAACATGCCAGAAAAATACACCTATATTGTGAACAGCATACTCTTTAATGTGAATTTACCAAGAACACTCTCTATTGACTGCTGTATCAAGGTACTTGAATAAAACAAAATATCTATTGATTTCATTTAGAATATAAAAAGTAGTTTCTCCATAATGATACTTTCTCTGTTTCTAAGAAATATGTCAGCAGCCTTTGTGATTAACAAGTCTTAAGTCCAGCTCTAATGTTCCGTAGTTATAGTACAAATAAGGGTTATGCAGTGGCATTAATGTACTTGCCTTTACCAGCCATCTCCAAAATGAAGGTCATTTCCCCACCCCACCCCCAGTAATTGCACTGGAACAAAATCTGAAATAAATTGTGAGAAATCGTTTAATACCTTCTCCAAACTCTTCCAAAAAATTGCAGAGGAAGGAAAACCCCAAACTCATTCTATGAGGCCACCATCACCCTGATACCAAAACCAGACAAAGATAGTACAATAAAAGAAAATTACAGACCAATATCACTGATGAATATAGGTGCAAAAATCCTCAACAAAATACTAGCAAACAGAATCCAACAACACATTAAAAGGATCATACACCATGATCAAGTGGGATTTATCCCAGGGATGCAAAGATTCTTCAATATATGCAAATCAATCAATGTGATACACCATATTAACAAATTGAAGAAGAAAAAAACATATGATCATCTCAATAGATGCAGAAAAAGCTTTTGACAAAATTCAACACCCATTTATGATAAAAACTCTCCAGAAAGTGGGCATAGAGGGAACCTACTTCAACATAATAAAGGCCATATACGACAAACCCACAGCAAACATCATTCTCAATGATGAAAAACTGAAAGCATTTCCTCTAAGATCAGGAACAAGGCAAGGATGTCCACTCTCACCACTATTATTCAATATAGTTTTGGAAGCCCTAGCCACGGCAATCAGAGAAGAAAAAGAAATAAAAGGAATATAAATTGGAAAAGAAGAAGTAAAACTGTCACTGTTTACAGATGACATGATACTCTACATAGAGAATCCTAAAGATGCCACCAGAAAACTACTAGAGCTAATCAATGAATTTGGTAAAGTTGCAGTATACAAAATTAATGCAAAGAAATCTCTTGCATTCCTATACACTGATGATGAAAAATCCAAAAGAGAAATTAAGGAAACACTGCCATTTACCATTGCAACAAAAAGAATAAAATACCTAGGAATAAACCTACCTAGGGAGACAAAAGACCTGCCTGCAGAAAACTATAAGACACTGATGAAAGAAATTAAAGATGATACCAACAGATGGAGAGATATACCATGTTCTTGGATTGGAAGAATCAATATTGTGAAAATGACTATACTACCCAAAGCAATCTACAGATTCAGTGCAATCCCTATCAAATTACCAATGGCACTTTTTATGGAACTAGAACAAAAAAATCTTAAAATTTGTATGGAGACACAAAAGACCCCGAATAGCCAAAGCAGTCTGGAGAGAAAAAAACATCACTGGAGGAATCAGACTCCCTGTCTTCAGACTCTACTACAAAGCAACAGTAATCAAGAAAATATGGTACTGGCACAAAAACAGAAATATAGATCAATGGAACAGGATAGAAAGCCCAGAGATAAACCCACACACATATGGTCAACTAATCTATGACAAAGGAGGCAAGGATATACAATGGAGAAAAGACAGTCTCTTCAATAAGTGGTGCTGGGAAAACTGGACAGGTACATGTAAAAGAATGAAATTAGAACACTCCCTAACACCATACACAAAAATAAACAAAATGGATTACAGACCTAAATGTAAGACTGGACACTATAAAACTCTTAGAGGAAAACGTAGGCAGAACACTCTGACATAAATCACAGCAAGATCTTTTTTGATCCACCTCCTAGAATAATAGAAATAAAAACAAAAATAAACAAACGGGACCTAATGAAACTTCAAAGCTTTTGCACAGCAAAGGAAACCATAAATAGGACGAAAAGAAAACCCTCAGAATGGGAGAAAATATTTGCAAATGAATCATCGGACAAAGGGTTAATCTCCAAAATATATAAACAGCTCATGCAGCTCAATATTAAAAAAACAAACAACCCAATCCAAAAATGGGCAGAAGACCTAAACAGACATTTCTCCAAAGCCATACAGACTGCCAACAAACACATGAAAGAATGCTCAACATCATTAATCATTAGAGAAATGCAAATCAAAACTACAATGAGCTATCATCTCACACCAGTCAGAATGGGCATCATCAGAAAATCTACAAACAACAAATGCTGGAGAGGGTGTGGAGAAAAGGGAACCCTCTTGCACTGTTGGTGAGAATGTAAATTGATAGAGCCACTATGGAGAACGGTGTGGAGGTTCCTTAAAGAACTAAAAATAGAATTACCATATGATCCAGCAATCCCACTACTGGGCATATACCCTGAGAAAACCATAATTCAAAAAGAGTCATGTACCGCAATGTTCATTGCAGCACTATTTACAATAGCCAGGACATGGAAGCAACCTAAATGCCCATCGACAGACGAATGGATAAAGAAGATGTGGTACATATATACAATGGAATATTACTCAGCCATAAAAAGGAACGAAATTGGGTCATTTGTAGAGATGTGGATGAATCTAGAGACTGTCATACAGTCAGAAAGACAAAAACAAATATCGTATATTAACGCATATATGTGGAACCTAGAAAATGGTACAGATGAACCGGTTTTCAGAGCAGAAATTGAGACACGGAAGTAGAGAAAAAACGCATGGACACCAAGGCGGGATAGCGGCAAGGGGTGTGGGGTTGTGGTGTGATGAATTGGGAGATTGGGATTGACATGTATACACTGATGTGTATAAAATGGATGAGTAATGAGTAATAAGAAAAAAAATTTAATTAAAACAAACAAACAAAAAAAATCCTTCTCCAAAACACTTGGTAATACATATGAAAAAGCATAAGAATTCTCTTATCTTGGCCACTTATTTTTACATTTAGTAACTAATTCTAAGGAAACAATTTGAACGGATGACAAAAATTTATGTACAAAGATGTTCAGAAGAGCATTATTTATAATGGTAAAAAACTGAAACAACCTAAATGTCCAAAAATGAGAGGCTACTTTAAAAAACTATGGTGCAGCCATATAAAGGATAATTAAACAGCAGTTTTGTTAAATCTCATTCTTACAAAGAATGAGGAAATTATTAAAATATCATTTTAAATAGAAGAATGAGATAAAAGCTATAATGAGATAAAAGCTATATATACAGTACCATCTCCACCTTGTACATATATATATGCTTTATATATTTAAGATATACCTACATTCTTTAATATTATAAAGTACTAAGAAGATAACAAAAATCACCCATAATTTTACTGTACTGGAAGTACATGAATCACAATATTAATGTTTACCTCTTACTGTTAAAATTGTATTTTTTTATTTTCTGGTTTTTCGTTGGGTTTTTGTTTTGTTTTGTTTTGCTTTTCCTATTTTTTTAGTGAACTCTATTAGAAAAACAATGAACATGTTTGTTTCTTTTTAACATGAAACCATTCTGTGGGTGGCTAAGATAGGGACTTCAGTGGAGTCTCAGAATCATCTAATATCAATTTCATACCAGATATTAGTGTCTTTTAGATGCCAAAGTTCATGACTAAGCTATCATCAGTGAGGCACTTGTTTTGAATTGTCTTTCCAGTAGGAGATATCGACTGTGCTAAGTAAAAAAGTGTACAAAGCCTATTCTCAGAGCTACTCCCCTCCCCACCATCCACCTCACAAAGAAGACAAGCAGATTTTTAAATTATCAGAGGTAAGGTCACTGTTGATTCTCACTTAAGAAACCCTTGAGTACTTCAAGGCCTTAGAAAAAGGGACAATCTGTCTTAGGACGTATGACGTAAGGTGGCCTAAAAGGGGGTTTCCTCGCAAATTTTGGGTTAAAAACAAGACATTTAAATCTATATTATAGTATAAGTTTCTTCAAGCTCTGCTTTAAGAAAAGCCAATGAATAAACTCTGGGCTTACATAATAAATAAGTCAGAGAATCATTATGCATATTATCAAGGAATTATTTATTTATGAAAGACTTTATCACAGAATGCCTTAAATATCTGCTTTTCTCATACATTTTGGTATTTCAAAAATAATTTCCTATTTGACAAATGAGCCACCATGTGCTTTGGGGCAAGTTACTGAAATTCTCTAGGCTGTTTCCTCATCTATGTAACAAGGATGGTTTTAACCATGCTGCCTGCCTCACTCAGTTTTCATGACTATCAAACAAGATAATTTACATAAAGTTACTTTGAAAATTTCATACGCATATTATTACTTCTGTTGCTTTTAAAAGAGAATCTGGGGAGGAACTTTCAGAATTTTATCATTACTATTACTAAATACATACTTTTGTACACTTTAAAAACATTTTGAAGGACAATTTTAGATAACATATTCATTCTACAAAAATCAAATCTTTCCTTAGTTCATTATCTATTTTTCCTATGTTTTTTAGTTCTTTTTCAGTTACTAAATGTTGTAATTTCCATGGTATTAATACCTGGATTATGAGAGGCTCCAGCAGCTTCTCTACGGTGAATGTCTGGACCTGCAGATCCTGAGGATTGACATTCAGTGTGATTGGTGTTTCAGCTGACATGACTGCCTGGGCACAAAAACAAAAAGACACTTATTAATAAAGAAAAATACTTTCTAAAGGAAAGCACTAATGAAAATCATAGTGTACATGAGATTAGTATTCAAGCACCTCCTCCTGCTATCAGTTGTAGCCCTCAGAGGACCAGGGTGCCAAGTCCACCTACAGAGAAACAAGATATTCCCCAACTGTTCTCTTAGGTCATGCTTCTGGGCTTAGGTCCTCTGACAAATTAATCTACGCTAGTATGTTCATGACTGAAATAATAACCAGCCAAGGTGACTTTGCATTTGATCAGGAGTCTTAAGTGAAAAAGAATGGCTGAGTTGGTGAGACATATCTTACAGCAAGCAAGTGCTTTGACTTCCATGAACTCATAGCACTGAGACAGCCAGAGCCCATATTTTGCCTATTGTTAATGACAACTCAGATGAGGAATCAGGTAGGAATTTGGAAGACAGGTGCTACGTCTCTACAGGTGCTATGTCTCTATTTGTCTGGGGAATTGTTTGAGGGTTTTGATTTGGAGAAGAAAGTTCGGGGCAATTTACTTTCCTGTACAGAAAAAAAAACTAATATAAATTGGCATCGTTATTATAAAATGACAAATCTGAGAAGGCATTGATATTTGAGCAAGACAAAATAAGAAAAAAATTGCAAGCCATTCTTTAAGACATGAATATTAATCTTAAAAGTCGATGCAGTGAGATTTTTGCATAAGAATACATATATATATCAAACGACCATATGTGGAATTTCATAACATATCCAAAGTAACACATCCGCCGTGAAGACTATTACCCAAATCACTAAGCCCACAGATTTGTATTAACTTGTTCACAGTCAATAATCACCCAGCAAGTATTTACTGAAGGTTCACGGAGATAAACAGTAAGAAACACATCTATCCTATATATAACTTAGCCTATTAAAAATAAACTTAGAGTCTACAGGAATGTGTGTTACTATCAATGCACAAATCTTTCCATTTAACTGTTACCTATTTTCTTTCAAAGTTTCCTATACTTGCAGGCTAAGAGAACATAAGAATCTGCCCCTAGAAAATATCTTGATATTCCCTACAATACTCATTGAAACTAAAACAAAAAAGAATTAGAATGTATTACTTTTACTTTAGTTTCTCTATTATTTTAGATATAAGGGCAGATAATTGTTTTGTTTTTAGTTGACTGGTTGATTCTATGAATGGACTATGGATGGATAGATGAATGAGTGAAAGAATGAATGAATGAATGAGGACACATTTTCATGGTGTCTCTTTAATCCAGAATCAGTCCTTTTAAGACTCCTCTCACTCTCAGTGATTCTAGGAAAGAAGATTGTTCTTTTTCCTATACCTATGCCTCCAACCTCTAAGGGAAATCAGAATCTCAGGGTAGGGCCCATGTTCCCTCCCAACTTCTTCCCCTGAGAATCTACCCCCATTCTCCTCTGACCCTTTCTCAACTCCCACTGGTCTAGTTCCATAAAATCAGCATATCTTTGCTCTTCAACCTCTCGTACTCACTGGACCCTTCCCCTGGATCCATAAATGTGTTACTGTGTATAACCAAAGATAATAATGATGTCTTTGTGTACATGTAACTGAAAAGATCAGTGCTTCACCAAGGCCTTTCCACACCATATATCTGATACATGTGCAGAGAGAGATGCACAAACAGAACCACCCTATAACAAAAAATCTTCCTTATTGGCTCTTATCTTAATGTAATCTAATTCTTAGATTAGTAATAACAATTTTTTTAAATAGAGGCAAATACTATAGAACCTAGAAGTCTTACTGCTCTCCAAATATTGGGCTGGCCAAAAGGTCTGTTCGGTTTTTTCCATAAGATGGCTCTAGTAGCACTTAGTTGTCTTTAACTTCATTCAAAACAATTTTGTTAGACTGTATGTGACAGCTGTCGTATCAGCGTGCATTTTAAAAAGGACATCAAAATTGGTGTATTTTTGTGTAGCCATTTTAATATTGAAGATGGAAGAAAAAAGGCAACATTTTCAGCATGTTATGCTTTATTATTTCAAGAAAAGTAAAAAAAACAACCGAAATGCAAAAAAAAAAGATTTGTGCAGTGTATGGAGAAGGTGCTGTGAACAATCAAATATGTCAAAAGTGGTTTGTGAGGTTTCGTGCTGCAGATTTCTTGCTGTACGATGCTCCATGGCCGGGCAGACCAGTTGAAGTTGACAGCGATAAAATAGAGACATTAACTGAGAACAATCAATGTTATACCACGTGGGAGACAGCCGACATACTCAAAATATCCAAATCAAGCGCTGAAAATCATTTGCACCAGCTTGGTTATGTTCATTGCTTTGATGTTTGGGTTCCACATAAGTTAAGCGAAAAAAACCTTCTTGACCATTTTTCCTCATGCAATTCTCTACTTAAACGTAATGAAAATGTTCCATTTTTGAAACAAATTGTGACCAGTAATGAAAAACTGGATACTGTACAATAGTGTGGAATGGAAGAGATCGTGGGGCAAGCGAAATGAACCACCACCAACCACACCAAAGGCCAGTCTTCATCCAAAGAAGGTGATGTTGTGTATATGGTGGGATTGGAAGGTAGTCTTCTATTATGAGCTCCTTCTGGAAAACCAAACAATTAATTCCAACAAGTACTGCTCCCAAGTAGACCAATAGAAAACAGCACATGACGAAAAGCATCCAGAATTAGTCAACAGAAAGCTCATAATCTTCCATCAGGATAACACAAGACTGCATGCTTCTTTGACGACAAGGCAAAAACTGTTACAGCTTGGCTGGGAAGTTCTGATTCATCTGCCGTATTCACCAGATATTGCACCTTCAGATTTCCATTTATTTCGGTCTTTACAAAATTCTCTTAATGGAAAAAAATTTCAATTCCCTGGAAGACTATAAAAGGCACCTGGAACAGTTCTTTGCTCAAAAAGATTAAAAGTTTTGGGAAGACGGAATTATGAAGTTGCCTAAAAAATGGCAGAAGGTAGTAGAACAAAAGGGTGAATACGTTGTTCAATAAAGTTCTTGGTGAAAATGAAAAACGTGTTTTTATTTTTACTTAAAAACCAAAGGCACTTTTTGGCCAACCCAATATATGCCACATGGCTACACTCCATGATTCTCTTACTGCAAAAATGGATATGTGAAGTATTCTTGAGAATAACAGGAATCTGCCAAAGACTGTTCCCAGTGACTTACCATAGAAATTTGTACATAGTCAAAATAGTGAATTTCAAATATGCTTATAATCAAATATACTCATAATATTTATAATTCTTTCATGTGTTTTCAGCAAAGTTTGATATTAGAAACAAAGATAATTATGCTGAAAGTTTCAAAGGAAATAATTATGACAAATCTAATAATTTAAAGCATTTAAATACAACTATATACTCCAAAATTGACTATACTATTAAAAACACTAATACATACTAATCACTTTGTGTATAGTATCGAAACATTTTCTAGTCAACTCAGGAAATTGATTTGGAGATCAAGGTAATAATAGGCAGAAAACTGCAGAATTTTGCAAATGAAGTCAAAGCAAGGTCAAAGTCCGACAAATTGTTAGACCTCTTGTAGCAATAACACAATGTGAATCCAAAACAAAAATTCTACTAGGGTGTAGATATTATACCCCAAGGCGTTTGCATTTTATAATCCACAAAATTTTAAGAGTTAGAAAGTACCTCCCAAACAATTCAAGGACACCTCCTACAGTGTCCTTCATTTCAACAATATACTGGGCTTGGATGAATAGAAATGAGATGCTCACTATACCATTAGATGCCAGTGATTACTTTTATAAAGTTCTTCCTTATGTTGAGTTGAAATCTGCCACTTTTCAACTTCTATTCAATAGAGACAGTTTCATAAAGTAGGAAAGGTACAGGTTTGGAGACAGGCAGACTAGATTAAAATCCCAGTTTTCAGAATCAAAGGGAGGAAAACAAATCTCTTGACAGCAGTAATAGAGGTCTCTAGGGATAGTCCTTAAGGCAGAACAAAGTACCCATGTGGATCCTTCCCGTCTCCCCAAGTTGTCTTTGTCCATAATGCCTGAATTTTCTTTACTCCACTTTATTCCTTGCTTTAAATTGAGCTTATAGCAATTTTAAATTCATTTAGTTAACAAGCATTTCATTTTTAAATGCAGTTAACTCTGAGAGGTCATGGGGGACACACATTCAATCATGCTTTGGAAGAGTACATGAGACCAAGGTGATGTGTCCTCCCAGAGCCCATATGTACCCTTTCTGACACACTCAGGATATCCAGTACCCCCAACTCTCTGCTCAATCAGCCCAAGCCTACTTCCAGTACCTATGCCAGCCTCTTCCTGCAATCCATCCTTCCAAGAGTGAATTACAACATGCCCATTCCTTATACCTGAGAGGTAGCCAAGAGCCAGCTGTTTGCTGATGAGTATGTATGGAGCTTGGACATGCAAGCTGGGCTGTCCACCTGCATGTACCCAACGCCTCTCAAGTGCAAGACAGAGCCACAAGTGGAAAGAAAAGGGAGCTGACCATCAACGTCAGGGGTGAGCTCCCCATCCACCACCTCATTCTAACAAGAAACTTCAAAGAGTACAAGAATTCTAAATACAGATCTATCCTTCCAGGTCATTTGGAAGGTATATTTCTCAAGGTAGAAAGATAGGAGGATAGAACCTACTTTAGTAGCTTGTTAGCTTGACTTGTAGCTTTTACATATGTAAGTATGGTATGCAGGCCTCCATTTTATACTTTCAATCTGCTCACTACAAATGTTAAGGATCAGCCTGCCCAAACTTTCTAGAACTCCATATCACCAAGTTCTTTCTTTTTGGTCAGATTTGCTCTTTCATTGTTTCCTCAATCTTCTAAGACATGCAGTTGACACAGAGGTAGGGTAAAAAGTCATCAGTTCTTCCACTTTTAGGAGAAGACTTCCAAGCTTCTATAACAAAATTACTTCTCTTTTCCTCTCTTTTTTCCCCTCATTCAAATGCTCTC